TACATTTTTTGCACCATAAGAAAAAGTTCTAAAATTATTCATAAGTTTACGTCTTGATGTATTTATGGATCACGTGGTCGTGTCATCCCGCGCCGGCACATCAGGGGTTAACCGCAGGTCAATGACACTGGATACAGGATTACGATTTTTAATAAAAGGAAACCCGCCAAGTTCAGTGACTAAGCGAGAAGGAGTTTTGAAAGGAATTTCTTTTTAAAAGAATACTGAAGCTAACACTAATTCCTTTTTTAACAAGTTTGTAAAAAAAACTGTTTAGACTAACTATATTCAAACAAAAAAAATAAACTATGAGGAGTTTTCTTTTCTTATATTTAGTCGGATTGGATATTGGTTACATTTGTTATTTATATAAGTAATTCAAAATAGAGAGTTTGCAGACAATCTGTGTACGAATAAATTTACAATACGCTGCTCCATATATGTGGGTCAGTTAACATACCCGCTGCGAGTGTAGGGTGGACATGTCTTGAAGTTTTGTGGGATCGTGCTTTTATTGGTAAAAAAAAACAAGTGTTAAAAACATAGTGAAAATGGTAATTTGAGTTATGTCTTTTTTAAATCATGAATTTCATAATTAAAGGAAAGGAAGGAAATTTAAATCGTTACCACATCCATGATTAATAGTAGGAAAAGCGCTATTTTTCGATAAATGTCTGAGGTTAAACGGTAACACATTAAAATAGAAATATGTAAATTCATAAATAACGTATATAGTTTTTATATATCTGAACATTCAGAGATATTATTATTATTATAACCTTAAGATCTTTTTGCGGAAGAACTAATTGTAAAAGTATTATCCAACTTTTTCATAGCAAAGTGTGGACTCATTGCGTGTGAGGTTGCGCGGCGTGTTTGATATGGTAATCTTTCGTTTAGCGTACATTATGATAATGTTCTGAATATTTTGGGAAGCTGAAACTCTTGTTGAACACGGCAGCTATTGAAATTTACTTTGTCTGAATATAAACAAGATGTTCGGTAAATGTAAAAAAAATATTTTAAATTGAAACATCATAATCTATTGCTATAAAGTATTTTAATCTGTATTTGTTGTTATAAGTTAGCATACTCGAATAATTTAAATGTAACTTAAAGATAAGAATGTAAATGTAAAAAAAATCCCTAAGCCCTTAATTTTGCAATACATTTTAGCATCTGTAATCGTATCTGTTCTTACGTTTCTTATTAAATTTCGTAAGGAATCTGCTCACTACAATTCACATGGTACAGAGTATAGTTGCGACAGAGCGTGCTAATGGTGTCAGATAGCGAGGTGTGTAAGCTCAACAAACAACTTTATAATTTGTTATATGATTATTTCCTTTTAACGAAGCAACAAGCAATACGCTTTTATATCTTCATTACTGTTTACTATGTTTTGACATCAGGTGTGTAATCGCGGTCACTTTATCGTAATAAAATTCCTTAAATGGACATTAATTAATAATTATTAATTGTTTGTTGATAAAAAGCAAATTTTTACAATACCAAATTATGTATAATTTTAAAATACCTATTATAATAACAAGCTAACCTCAGATATTTGTGTTTATTTGGAAAATTGCAGATTCGTTTTTCTAAAAAGTAACAGTGCTGCGGTTACTATAACTAGATATCTATATAGTTACATACTATAAAGAGGGAAAATTTGCATTTTTGTATGTATTTGATTCACGCAAAATTTTAAATTCCTTCACCATTAGAAAGGTAATTTATCTGTGAGTAACATAGACTCTGATTTGTATTATTTTTTAAATTTCACGCGGGCGCAGTCTCGAGCAACAGTTTGTTACTCTATTGAGTTGTTTAGTGCATTTTTCTTGAGATTTGCTAAGCTCTTGTTAGAGCAGTTCGCTGTTGATTACGTCACGAAGGACATCATCACAGCAAGTACCGTGTAGTCAATTTGTCCCGCTAATTGCCACACGCCGTCACTTCGCGCCGAAGTGAATTAGTCACTATATTACTCATGTTTAACACTTCTTGTGTTACTAAATTATACCTTTAATTGATTGTGAATCAGTTTTAAGATGTGTGTGTGTGTTTTAAGATTTTAAATCTAAAGTCCAGTGTTGTATGATTCGCATACGTACAGTTTCCGTGTTTACGTTTACATAAAATAAAATTTCTAATCTTACTAATATTATAAAAGCGGTTGTTTATGTTTGTTAAAGTTTGACGCCTAAACTGAATCTTGACGAAATTTGGCATAGATGTAGAGCAAAGTATGGAAGGCATATATACTACTTACTTTTTTAATTCCATGCGGATGTCGCGAGAGGTAGGAGCGATATTAAAAATATGTAAAATGTAACTTAAAAGAATAATAGATGTACAAACGTGTCACATGCATATATGTAACTAGTTGTTAGACCGGACGAACGACATTTCTCATATTGACAGAGCCATTGTTGGGAACAATGAAGGTTGATCAGTGCGACGGATTGGCCAAATAAGCCAATGTTTGCTCTCACGCGCAAATATTTGATGCCGTCATCGACACGGAGCGATCTTGATACAAACTTTGTGCGTCATCGAATCCGCTATAAGAAAGTAATCTAGAAAAGTATCACAATTTAAATAAATAACGTAAAATAATGAACAAAAATGTTAAAACGCTTTACGTCACACTATCGACGAATGATAACATGATCAAATCGATTCCAATAAATATGTTTTCCAACAGCTATCGACTATGCTAATCTTACTGTGATCACTACATTAGATAAATCACTTCCAGCAACCGAAAATGGTCATGGAACAAATTTTACTGCGAGCGTAGCTAACGTTCTGCCCGTAGCGATGTACCGCCCATTTCCCTTACTCTATGACATGCATATTTCAAACTATCAATGTTACTAAGTAAAACCCTTGGCGTAAAATCAGTTTGGGAAATACACACTAGTGAAAATAACTCAAATGCGATAGTAATTCTTTGTTTAAAGTTTAAACAAGATATAAACGCGACTAGTTATTATAGATCTATTCCAATACTCAAATGAACTTTAAGAGTAAACATTAATCTATTTGTTATAGTTGTGGCAAGGTAACGTAACGCAGGTGCGTTGGCTCGGCGCCACCGCGCCGCTGACTCAGCCCAGCCGCACTTGCTGACACTCATTGACTTGCGAATGCAAAATGTCACATTATATTAATCACTAGCTTTTGCCCGCGACTCCGTCAGCGTGAAAGTTAAAAATAATAAAAGAGAAATGAAAAATAAAGTCTATGTTACTCACTGATAAATTACACTGATTTGTATTTATCAGGAGAATTACAAGCTTTATCTTACTGTGAAAAAATCAATATGTATGTTTAGATTCTTTTTTGAGGTGTCGAGTGGGGAAACCTACAATGATACCTTGTCGCCTTCTAAGGGAAGACAGGGATTTGGCCCACTAAAACCAGGTTGGAAAGCCAGCATTGGAACCTTCGGCACTTGTAATTGACAAGAAATCTACAAACAATTAGTTACTATGAATTGAATTAAATTAATTAATTTATTTATTGGTTTCTATCTTTAATTTTCTTTCAAATTTGTGTACTTCTAAAATTATTCTATTGATCTCATGCAAGTTAAAGTTCTGTTCATTAACCGCGCGAAAGTCTTGAGGTGCGTCGATAGAAATAGGTCCCCTTCCGGCGCCGGGAATAGCGCGATCTCCGCCGGGTAGGGGGGTGGTCGGGGAAGGGAACAGACGTCGAATGGGACACTGTGTGATGTCCCATCTATGTTACATTTGTCACGCTACTGAGATGTCGGAATTCGGTAGCAATGAAACCAAAGAGTTATAAGGTTTTTAGACATACTCTTTAGATTTTTTTATTGATAGGTATAGGTATTTAAGTCTATGACAACACTATGGCAACTGTAGACTTAAAAAAAACCACAAACAAAAATTACAGGCGGTCTTTTCGGTTGCTTGAAATTATAGATTACCCTGAAATTGAATTCTAGAGAAAACAACTTAATAGATTTATTCAAATGTTACAATTCAATGAATGAAACATTAGTAACCTCTAAAAAGAGCGTACATTCGTTAATATAAACAAAACTAGTCCGGTTCAGTGATTACGTACGTTGTCGTAGTCATACCTGACTCAGAGGAGTGGAAATATAATTTGGCGCGCAGCGAGGCGCTCGGCTCGGTGTCCGCGGGGATTGAACCCGCGCTATTTGCAGTGCTGGCACTGCGCCAGCGGCTACCATTGTTTGACCTTATTCCTTACAGTCAAAGAATTAAATTCACTAACCCTCTAAGATCAAACATCAATAAACTATCATAAGAGCTACAATATAACACATATATATGTTCTATGATAAGTTTTCGAACCAATTGCATTTTATGTCGAATTTCATTGAAATGGGTAGGAAATAAATGTCCTCGACTATACACGCTCGCAGTAGCTCGCATCTTCGCAGAACCTATGATACTGAGGGTGTACTAAGAAGCGATGCATAAAACATATGCACTCCATATCGGAGTTGGTCAGGAAGTTGATGTCGCAGACTAATCTTGACAAATGTAGACGCGACAAGGATATGTGACACATTTCTTCATATGGATGAAGAGTCAATTAAATACAAATATATTTGTCATTAGAAATAAACAGTTGAGCTTTTGTCTTTTAGTTATGTTGATAATTTCCGAAACTGACAGCCATGAATTTACCTTTGATAAAACTTTAACAAAAACCCATCATTATACGTCGTACTGAATTCGATTCGAGTTCTACCCTAATGTGACTTGGAGATATGTTTTTTGGTTAGCATTAAAACTAATTTTACGGATGTTAACGTGTGTAATTTAAACATTACCGACGTTGAAACTGCTTATGGTTTTGTAGAGGCGTTTTGAAATTTTTATTTCGTTTTTCATAGGCGACACATTTTGTGAGCAAATCGTGTGGTTGCCAACTTTGATTGCCTTTTGTTTTTTGATCTCGCTATTAAAACAATTTATGTTTTTTCTCAGGATATTGGTGGGTGCGCCGGAGGACGATCCGTTCAGACTGGCGGGGGTGTCTCGGCCGGGTGCGGTGTACCGCTGCGACCCTGCGCGTCGCACAGCGCAACCTTCCCTGGCGCCCTGCAGCATTATGGACTTCGATAAGAATAAAGGTAAGTGTTTATAGTACAAAGGCAAACGTCTGTATTATTATTGACTAACAACATAAGCATTTAACCAGAATTACGATTGGATATAAAAGAGTTGCAATGGTGAATAACATTTGCTGCTTTGAGCAAGACAAAAAAGCGATTTTCTATATATTAAAGTTTATTATAACGTTCTTTAAAGTCTTATAATATAAGTCTGTCTGTTCTTTTAACAATTGTTATAGCCCCTAGCTTTATATTCACATTTTTTCCAAAGTTCATTATTTTGTATAATAGTAGTCGTAGCAATTGTTTTGGTAGAAGAAATGTTTGTATTAACAATGTAAGAGGAATTACTGCAGTAAGCATTTCTCGGAAGTGGTATCAAAAGGTCTCAGTTTGAATGCTCGCCTCATTAATTCGCTGCCTGATGTATGCTCCTTGTGTCCTGCTAAGGCGGAATCACACGTAAATAATGTTGCCATGATTGATTTTATTATACTGGCTGATTATAATTTTATTCATGTAGTTCAGCTTGGACAAATTATTACTACAGACTGTTTAGTAAATATTATTAAAAAAAATTGACGTAATGTTGCATCTTGAGTTTAGAAGTACCTATACCACTAACTATAATTTGTTATGTTAGCAATAGTCTGAACTATCGCACACTTGTTTAGTCTGGCTTTGATTCATATGTGCACAATACTCGATTCTTAGTTGTGCAACTTTTAAGTTGTATTTGCTGGGAAACAATCGATAATCGCACAACGGTTGTGCGATACTTTAGTCAAATATGCCGGCTTTAAATTGCAAATCTTACCTTCTAAATGTACATGTGACATGTGCCTTGTAAAGTCGTATGTGACGTGCCCGTGCGACAGAGCCGGCGCACGCGCATCTGATTTACGACACAACTACTGTACTCCAGCGCTTTGTTCCTCGTTCAGAGGACGTAATATTTAATATGTCAAACGAAATAATGCTCTGCAAAATATAGGGACCACTTAAGTAGCATTAAATTGTACGTCTTTTGTTTGTATGAGTAATAACTACAATTATTAAGGCTGCATCTTGTGTTATAGTTACAAAACGTTTTGTTATTACTAAAAATAAAATCTACCTGTATTATAGTTTAATATAATGGTCATTGTCATTGGTCTTTTTGGGACGATCGAAAAGTCGGTTAGAATCCATTTCAGTACTGACAATCTCCAGGATATCAGAAACATGATAGAAATTATTTAGGCTACTGTTATTTTCCTCAATAACATTAAAGGGATTTTTTAAATACATTTTCATAGTGTCATTAAGTTAGTATGTTTAAATTTCAAGTGATTTCAACTCTTTTTTGCAATCGAGCAAAACAATTCAGATCGATTTAAAGCAGTCCCAAATTTCGCTTCCAAATTTTATTGGCGGACAATGTGCTATGAATCAAGCAGCAGTTAGGAATCCAGGCAAAGTGGTGCCGGTGGCATCCCAGCGATCTTGGACACCTTTATTTTATTCTCTGGGACAATTTTAAAACCTACATTTTACGAAAGACTTGGTCGCGGAGCTTACGAATTCAGCACGTAATTTGTAAAATTATCTTTATTAGGAGCAATATTTTTTTTAAATCTGATTGGATTAACATAATCTCTTTGTTAGAGAAGTAAATTCTATACTTTACAGTTCTAGAGAGATCTCAAGTACAAGGAACAAAACGTAAAGATCTGGATCAACGAGATTAATGCGCTATAAAAGTGAATGGATATTACAAAGCTATCGGTTGTTGGTGGCTGTGACGCCCAGTAAACAAGACAAGTGTTTGTGCAGTCGGCCACTTGTACTGAGTGTCGACTGTTGTCAACCACTTGGAAATTAAAGAGCGTTTGACTCGTGTTTTCATATCTTCCAAGTGTGGTTTAGTATGTCAATGATATCTCATATTTAAAAATAAATTCTCAATGAAAGAACAAAACCGAGTTAAAAAATTGTCGGCAGTTGCAAAAGTTACATTTAGTAGTATAATTTCGTTCACAAAGTTCCTGAGCCTTGTTACAAAGGAAAGAAAACTGATAAAAGAGTGGTCGGCGATTGCGCACAGAAGTCAGAGTCGATTACCACAATGGTGCTTGTGAAATGCCACCGATAACGCGCTAGGGCTGTGCCGCGTGTCGATTAAATTTATCGACGTTTTCTGGCGTTATTTTACGCGTATACCGTATATGGCTTAAATGTTCTTTGTTCCGGGATGCATTGTCGGGATAAATTTGAGATATCCCGTAATTTGTATAGTGCTTAATAATGTGGCGAAGATAATTACATTTTATTAGTATCAGCGGAATTCGTTGCACTTAGAAATAACTGGAAACGGTACAAATTTTTCTTATTGTTGCTATTTGTAAAAATTTAAAGAGAACGAGTATTACTAAAAAAAATTAAAGTGGAGGAGTAGTAGAAATGCATTATTAGAATTATTTTAAAAATATTTTAATCATTGAAGATGTGTTAATATCATTTTCACTTACTTTTATTTATTGAACATTTTTAGTTAATCAAATATTTTTTTATCGATAACAGTAATATAGCACGTCACTATATTTGCATAGTCAGCTGTGTACTTAGTTTATCTATATTGACCTCTGTTATCAGTTGACTGAGAAAGTATTGAAGTGGCTGCCGAGGTTAACGCCTCTGACCCCCGGATGAGTTTGGTAATTACATCTTATGCAAGATAACTTTATCTTTTTGGGTAAACAGACTATGAGATAATGTTCGAAAAATGCACGTCGAAAGAATGTTCCTTACAAGTTTTTCTGTTATATTTAATATCTTCTTACTAATATCATAAATGCGAAAGTTTGAATGGATGTTTGTTGGAGTTTGTAGCCTAAACTGTTTAACGGATTTCGATGAAATTTGACAAACACATCTTCAATCTCCAATTTGTCTTGAAAAACACATAGCCTTACTAAGTTCATTATTTTTAATTTTTAAACAAATATCAATAAGTACTGATCGAATGCAATAGAGTAAGGTTATTCATTTATGTTTACGGAGTATTTCGATTCCGTTGATTCCTTTTGCGTTGATATCGTCAACCATGTAATTTTAGTAGTCATAACTAGTATAGTATTCACATATGTGTCCTAGGAGTAACATACTGTGTGATATCGAGACACGATCTGCAGTCACGATGTACAAATTCGTGCGTCTGCATGCTGCCGCAGCTAGCGGAGTCATTGCAGCTCCCAATCCGGCTTTGTGCATCCCTGAATGTTTGAAACTTTTACACATTTTATTGTGTAATTAAGTGATGTTAAAAGGAGGACACCTTTGGCTAAACTATCCCACAACTGATGTGCGATTGTCGATTGTTTCGCAGCGAATTCAACTGTTTATTTACACAACTAAAAATCGAGTAGTGTGCGCACCTCCATAAGCTTATAGGAATCAAAGCGCGACTAAACAGTTGTGGAATAGATTAAGATGCGCGCGCTTTAACAATTCTAGATTCTGCGGAAGAAGGTTAAAGAAAGTGGATGTTATCTACCTAAATAGATCGTGTTTACTAAGCTTGAAATAGATTTGAGTTGATCATCAATTGAATAAGTGTACAGCGCTCTAGGTCTGCTGAACTAAGAATATTCTTTTGAAAATCGAATACACTCTCTTCTGTTTTACTTCTGCTTTTAAAGGATAATGACTGGAGTGCATCAAATGCAGTAGCGTCGTCAGGGCAACTTGTTGCGTAACGTTTGTTTTAATCCATCCGTTTTATTGCGTCTGAAACGCTGTTAACGATCGTCTTGCAAGCCGAGCTGTCATCCGATATTCCTTACAACGTATCCAGTTGCACGGACATTTGCTGAATCTTTCCTTTATGTCAATTCTGTATTTTTTATGGTACTTTTTTATACATCCTTCACGGTATCGGATATTTGAAATATGATTTTTGTATCGTAACTAACAAACAAGTGCATTTTGGTGTAAAAAATTAAATACATTTATGCCGAGAGACTAGATATTTTTAATTCTTGCAATTACTTTTATTAACTAATTGTTTTTGATAAGAATGGTTATGGAATTATGGTGTGTAAAAGTGGGCCGTGTGAACCGCGCTGGTCTTTGTGTATTAAGATAAAATGAATTACGCTCGCGCCGCCTTTGTACCGTTTTAATCGTTTGTGAAGTGCACTTAATCAATATTGCTTAATGGACGTTGTTTACAACATAGATAAATCCATTCGTCAATATAAGTAATGGAAGGATGTATTTACAGCTTCACAACACTTTATATGTACTAAACCTATATTAATATTATAAAAAGGAAAGATTTGTACTTTTTTTAGGATGTATTGAAATAACTCAAAAAATAATGAGTCGATTTTAAAAATTCTTTCATCATAAGATAGGTAACTTATCTGTAAGTAACATAGACTACGTTTTTTTATTATTTTTTTCTTTTCATGCTGGCGAAGTCGCGTGCAATACCAAGTAGCTTATGTAGTTGGCTCCTAAGTTACTTGTATGTTTCATACAAGATATGCATATATCGAAAACTGGAAAAATAGCTATGATGCTACGGGAAGTGGACAGCTAAATAAACATTATGACCTGTAGGTGATTATTGTTAGAGTTATTCGCCATCGCGAGCCACCTCCGCGCCATTCCCCGACACAAGCTGCGGCCGCACCGGATGTCTAATTACCGTACAGGCACGTGCCCACGCGGTTAAATTTGACCAATGTCAATATTTAGAAGCTCGAGTGAGAGGCACAAGCGAAAGCGGAAGCGATTGCCTTTTTTTATATTGCCTCAATTCGCATTATTAACTCAGACTTGAGATAATTGTTGTGCTTAGTAGTTGTCGTTTATCATCTTGCCTTTTGATTACGATGTTTTCAAAGTATGTTGTTAGGACACTCCATGTTATGTATGTTGTGGTCAAAATGTGATAAAATATAGTGTATTATTCCAAAGAATACATTTTTTTCACCCTTTATATAAATTTACACCAGTGTTCCTTTCACCAG